GGCTTTGGTCCATCAGAAGTCGCATGCCTCACGTCAACACCATCTGAATATTATGCAAACAATGAATACGCTTTTTTCCAATGAAATCCGAAGGGTTGGAAACAAAATCCCAAAAGTTCCGTTCGAAGAAAAATATTCAATGAAACCAACCATGCCCTTCATATCCTGCTGAGTACGCATTTCGATGATTATTGTACGGTTTCGCGGGATGTGACTCTAACAATCGTTTCAGCATACCACTTTTACGCGCCACTTCTGCACCTGAAACTCAAATCAGTTCAATTTCATCATCTTATTTCAACAATCTCTCCAAGACAAGACAAAACTTCTTCATGAAGAATGAAAAAAACGGCACAAATTTCACAACTTTTAACGTGAATATTGCACAAAAATATCCACTTCATTTTCTTCAAATTTCAAACTATACTCTTGCTTTCTTTTCATAAAACAAGCTGACACAAGTACGGAGCATAGCACACTTTCGAATATGATAACAAACTGATGTAAAACCATGCCTAAAGCAATGACGAAACTCCTTTAATCCAAATGTTTTTCTGTGACATACGAATGTTTAATAAATGAAAGTCACTACAAATGAAACATCACTAACCATCAACCATGATCACCACTTGTGTCAATAGATGATCCACAATATCGTACACGTCTCGTTCCAGCTGTGTTGTCAACTGACTCGCATACACATCACCCATCATCGGAGTGCGCACAAATTGGTCTTCATCAACACTGTTGTTTCCATTCCCACTGTCGCCGTCTCGTCGTCGTTTCCGTATTTGTTTTGGTCGCACTTGCGTACAATCCATTGACGCAGATGATCCAGGTCGGCCGCTTGACGGCGTTGGAGGACCTTCATAAATTCATACTGTTTGCGTACTCATATTTCAATCTAATCCTCTCCAAATACTCGGCTTTCTGATGGTATTCGAATCGAACCTTTTTTTTGAGTCACATTCATATCTATCACCCAACAACTTGCTCAAATGAAAACCTATTCTTACCTCGAGATGGGTAACAGTTACGAGCATTTGCTTAGTGTCAATCAACGAAAGATGATTACATTCACTGCGTTATA